ACGTCTCAGACCTCCCTAGTGGTGCAGTGGTTAAAGTCTCAGTACCACCAAGCTATTGTCAGCCACTGAGGCATGAGTTAGATCCCAGGGCAGGGGGTGGGGGGGAGGTGGGACTAAAACGAAGAGGGGAGGGAGCACAAGGATCTATGATGGTGGGCTACCTGTTCTTTGGTGAGGGATGCAATGTGTCAGCAACAGCGGGGAGTGGCAAACAGCTATGTAAATCAATTTTAACTCAATAAAAAATCTATTCTTTAAAAGACGTCTCAGACCTCCCTAGTGGTGCAGTGGTTAAAGTCTCAGTACCACCAAGCTATTGTCAGCCACTGAGGCATGAGTTAGATCCCAGGGCAGGGAGGTGACCCACATGACACAGTAGACGGCTCCTGTTTGGCCCGCTGCTCCCCTCTGCAGTGTATTCTGTGAATCTGCCTGTTCTGCTCCCCACTCAGTCTGTGAATCCTCTCACCCCACTCCCTGCACCTCTGGCCTAAAAACACCCCCATTTTTATATGCATAAAATAAATGAATAAAATAAATCTTAAAAAAAAAAAAAAAGAACTGTCCACCCAGGAAAAGTCTTTCAAAAATGAAAGCAAATGATATTTATGTTAAAAAAAAAAAAAATCTGGACCATCAAGGGAATTGCTCTAATTACTAAAGGGTTTCAGAAGAAAGTCTTAGAGGCAAAAAGAATAGTGTACAGAGAAAATGGTAAGTATATAGATAATCCAAGCATATATTACACTTACAAAGTCATAATGCTATAAATGATGTTTATATTGTGGTGTTATTGTCCCTGGCAAGGAAAGTAATGAATGTGTATACATCAGAATGGGAAATACCAATGCTAAGGCATTTCAGAGTCCACACATCATTGGTGGGGCTTTTCAACTCAGAATTAATGAGTTAAAATGCATGGTAACTTCTGGGCCCTCCCTGGTAGCGCAGTAGGTTAAAGCACAGCACTGAGAATCTAAAGCCGCTTCCGCATGAGTTCGATTCCCGCCTGTCCCGGAGGTGACCACAAGGCGTGGCAGACCTCTCCTGACCCGCCCACTGCTCCTCTCAGCAGTGTACTTCGTCGATCTGCCTGTTCTGTTCCCTACTCTGTCTCTGGTGAAGCCTCTCACCGCCCCTGAGCCTCTGGCCTGTACCCCAGTTCTGTATGCACGAATAAATAAATCTTAAAAAAAAAAAATGCATGGTAACTTCTGAGCCCACACTCTGCTAGGAGCGCTATTTCTCCATCAGAGTGAAAGTTGGTGGGTTGAGAATAATTATCATGACCTCTAGTGCTTTGACAAAGTCTCAGGGGCATAGCCTTCTGACCAAGTCTCTGCAATTTGATATTACAGGAGTTTTCCGTTGTATCCCTGGGAGTTGCAACTGTGGCTGAACCAAAAATAAATAAATAAATAAATAAGGAGGCAGAATTATGATTCCATATAGGATCTTCAGATGAAGAAGACTGGTAACTTTCTTTTAAAAAAAAAAAAAAGATTTATTTATGCATACAGATCTGTGGTACAGGCCAGATCTGCAGGGGGTGAGAGGATTCACATCCCCTGGGTGTGAGACAGGTCTGGGAGCAGAACAAGAAGATGTACTGAAATGCATTGCTGAGGTGAGCAGCAGGCGAGTAAGGAAAGATCTGTCAGCCATGTGGGTCACTTCCCTGGCCCTGGATCGAACTCATGTTGCAGTGGCTGTGGATGGCTTCATAGTGCTGTGTTTTAACCCACTGTGCCACTAGGGAGGACCCTGGTTGGTAACTGTCAGAGTATAAAGTGATAATAAATTTCAAGAATATTTTCTAATTGAATATGGAAGTTTGTCACTGAATCTATGTTCCAAAACTATGAAACATGAATATATAGACTAAAGAATAGCTATTATTGATAAATAAGCAATTAAAATATTTTAAACGTATGGTAAAATTCAATTAAATAATTAAAATGCTAGAACTTGAACATGCAGTTCCTAACTAGCAGAAAACAAATAAATAAGAAAGCATAGTGGATCAAGTTCGCACTAAATATTAAGGGGTAAAAAAACAAGGAAAAGTGAAGCATTAAAAATTAGAAATTTGTCCAGTGTGTCCACAGAAAATACTAATCAACTAGGTTTTTCAGTTCAAAGAAAGAGACTGTTAGATTGGCTTTTTAAAATATTTAGCTTTAGGGCCCTCCCTGGTGGCAATGAGTTAAAGCACAGCACTATGAAGATATAAGCAGCCACCGGACCGGGAGTTCGATTCCCAGCCAGGGAGATACATGGCGTGGCAGACCTCTCCTGTCTCGCCTACCGTTCCCCTTGTGATGCCATTAAGCACAGAGCTCTTTAAAAGGATCTTTGTCATTCATTCTCCCATTGACTTCTGAACCCGAATTGAGACCCTTGCGTTACTCTCTGGCGCCATCTAGTCGTAGACTGAGTTGATGCGCTTCCAGCGCGTGCCCAAGTTTCTCGGAACCATGCAGCCTAATTATCACCGAGTGCACACCGGACCGAAATCGAAGAGCACAAACTTCGGAGGAAATTACAATCAGAGCACTATCAGTAGCCAATAGGCGCCAAGGCCTGGTCGAGTCGGTGTCCATCCAGCCTATCGCGCTCCAGATACTCGGCCACTCACTCCTTCCGCCCCCGACTCCTTCTCTTCTCCACAAGATGGCTACACCGACGGTACCGGCGAGTGCCCCTACAGCCACGCCAGCTCCAGCCCCGGCTGCGGCTCCAGCTTCAGCCCTCACCCCGGCCCCGGCCCCGGCCCCCGCTCCGGCCCCGGCCTCTGCCCCAGCGACTGCGCTGGCTTCTGCCCCAGCGCCGGTTCCAGCTCCGACGCCCACTCCAGCCTCAGCCTCAGACCCCGCGGCGGCAGCGGCGGCAGCGGCTCCGGCCGCAGCTCCGGGCCAGCCCCCGGCCTCAGTACCAGCCCCGGCTCAGACCCCGGCGCAGTCGCTGCCGGGCCCTGCTCTCCCAGGCCCCTTCCCCGGAGGCCGCGTGGTCCGGCTGCACCCCGTCATTTTGGCCTCCATCGTGGACAGCTACGAGAGACGCAACGAGGGTGCTGCCCGAGTCATCGGGACGTTGCTGGGTGAGTGGTCAGGGACGCTGACGTTGTTTTCTCTCTCAAACACCGCCCCCCACCCATTGCTCTTCTCCCAACCTGTTTGTATTCTTAACCGTTTCTCCATCCCACTTTCCGCTGGGACGTAGCTTCCTAAGAAATTTCAACTTTCTTGCAGATGGCGCTCACTTTGGGCGACATACAATTATATAAGCAGTAGTTGTTTTTGGAGGAATTTTGTGTGCCACGGGACATGTTTTCTTTTTTAAAATCTTCCCCAAAGTACTTAAAGTCAGGTATGACCAGCCCCAGTCTACCAGAAATGATTTCACCGACAAGGAAGAACCTTTGACTCCTTTTGCCCAGTGACCACGTTTATCGCCCTTAGCCACTGACTAAATATTTCTACTTCCCAGAAATAGACATTTCTATTTTCTTTAACTACAAACTAGCCACGAGTGTTTTAAAAGTCTGCTTTCCTAAGCAGCTATGCCTGCTGCACTGTTTGCCTATCAGAACTGGGTCTGATTCCCCGAATAATAGTAGTATCAGTTTATGATACTGTTTAACTTTCAAGTCAAGAAATAACCAGTTCCCAACCCAAATCTCAAACTTGAAAGATATGTTTTGTATGATTAAGGAACCTGTAAAACTGAAAGAGCCGCCAAAGAAGGATTACCGATAATAATCCCCTTTCCTGGGGTCTTCTCATCCCATTTTTATTCAATCTTAGTCACGGATTTAGACAAGTTTGTGAATCCACTCTGATCAGTGACATATTATTTCTCTTTCTTACCCGTGAACATGTAATAGACCTTTGATGTAGAAGACGGTGTATTGTGAAGAGGGTAAAATTTGTAGACATACTCAACCAAATATTAACCATATAACTTGGGACAGATTACCTAGTCTACTTCCTTCACAGGCTTCCCTAGGCTTAGTCTTTATGAGAACCACATTTTTGCAGAAGATATAAATAGCAGGTCACATTAGATATAAAATAGCTGCTGGTTGTCATTCTCTACATCAGTCCTAAACCACCCCTAACCGTGTATATTAATATCCCCTTTATCTATCTTTGAGGGAGTAGCATTTTGCAGAAGTTATCTTCCAAACATTGCCATGGTTTTTCCCTCAAACCAAGCCTTTTTATTCTCTTTGCATGAGTGTCTTTCCTGCTCTCTATTTGTTTCTTTAAGTTCCATTCATCTTCCAGGTTCCCAAGAAATGTGTTCAGTATCAGTTCCAAAACCCTTCCCCTTAGGCCCCTTGTCAGCCTCCCAGAGTGGCCTGTGTTCGTGCCTTCCTTCGAACTTGTATAAGAAATGGTTTTTGTGTCTCTTAACGTGGCATTTAAAACTATGCTATGCAAATCTTCCTGACTCACTGGAGATGTTTAAAGAAACAACTCTCCACTCAAGGTTTGTGCCAGCGCCCCACATTAGACTGACAGTAAAGTAGAGCTTTAGATTCTAGACTGGAATGAAGCATAGATTCTGTTTACTAGGAGCATATGGATTTTCTCAGATGATTCATGAAACATTTCATTTGGTTAAATAGTTATTGCTGCCTCTTAAGTGCCATTAATGTTAGGTATTTAGAATTCAAAATGTAGTAAGACAGACTGTGCTCAAATTTTAAATCCAAGGTGAAGATAGGCTCTCACACACAAACACAATATAGTGTGATTAAGTGCACTAGCAGACGGGTAGCATGGTAGGTGGAAATACAGAGGACTTTGCTATTTTAGGAGCTTAAAGCGGTCAAGTCTTAATGCTGAAGAGAAGTCTAGTAAGGTAAAGAACATGTGCCTGTTGAAGTTGGGGACACAGTTTCAGCTAAAGGAGCAAAGCCATAGTGAACTAGATTGAGTCACTAGTGGAAGTAGGCAACATTATGGTGTTTGGTGGAGAGGGATGCACTTCCAGCTTGTGGTGGGAGGTGGCAGTATATTAAGGAAAACTGGAGATACCAAGGCACCAACAGTTTTTTTCAAGAGAAAAAAAAAAAATGGGAGTAAAGGTTTTAGAACCCGAAGAATACAAGTGTTAGAAGACTGACATTGATGTTCCAGGTTCAGAGCAGAAGATCTCTGATGATCAGATGAATATTATGACCATCTGGCCAGATAGCTAAAGGGATGTACAGTTAGTCCTGTCCAAACTGGTGCTCTCTTAGCTTTCTTAAAGTCTCCTAGGAACATCTACTGATTAAAGAATAGGGAGATGTTCTGAAAGCTAAAAAAAATGAAGGTCATAGGATGAAGATGCGGAGCAGGACTGGTAGCAGGAAGTTGCACACAGGAGACCTTGCCAGGGAAGAATAGGCCTTGTGTGTTGCAGGCTAAAAGGAGTTGGAGGTGACTTCAGAGTTTCAGTTCTCTGGAGAATCCTGGTCCCATTGATGTACATGACTGAACTTACAAAGCTTACAAAGACCACCCAGACAGCAGCCTAGTCTCAGAGCACAAGTTTGGACAGGACTTGAGTTCAGTTTGGCCTTCAGTGACTTGAGGAGTCCTTCAAAGCATTTGGAAAGTGGTTGGGAGCTGTTGGGTCCTCTGGGCTATATAACTCCTGACCATTGTCTCTCTCAGGGACCGTTGACAAGCACTCAGTGGAAGTTACCAACTGCTTCTCAGTGCCACACAACGAGTCGGAAGATGAGGTGAGTGGGAATTTGACCTGGCCCCATGCTGTCCCTAGCTGCCCCTGCGGGGCCTTCCCATACATGTTGTGCTTGTAAGTAGCATGCCACAATTCACAGAGCTTCCTCCCATTTGTATGTACACCCAGGTCTCTTCTGACTGTTGGGGTCACCTCTTGCCCCTTGTCACAAACTTTTTGTATGAACTTAACAGTTTCTTAGCTTCCTTTCTTGTCTTCATTCACAGGTGGCTGTTGACATGGAATTTGCTAAGAACATGTATGAATTGCACAAGAAAGTCTCTCCAAATGAGCTCATCCTGGGCTGGTAAGTTGGGGGGGTAAAAGGGAATATTACAGAATTCTCTCCGTGATTGCCAGTCTTTTGCACCAGACTAGATAAAATATGCTCTTTTTGGAGACAGTATTAATAGTGTAATGGCGCAACAAGCTATTAATTCAGTGTTTTGCTAGCAGTTCTGGCACTGTAAGGCCAAGAATTTTTCTATTTTTCTGTTAAATTATAATTTACTAAGCAGGTTTCTTTTCTTTCTTTCTCCTTGCTGATGACTTGGCATATTCAAATGCCATAAATCACCTTTGTTGTGATACAATCAGTATTTTTTTTTTGTTTTCAGCATTTGATGTCTTGCTGGGTCCTAAAGCTGGCTACACACGGCCTTATTTGGTATTGCTGTGACACTTAGACACAAGTCTGCAACCATGTTGTGTTTTTCAGGTATGCTACAGGCCATGACATCACAGAGCACTCCGTGCTGATCCACGAGTACTACAGCCGGGAAGCCCCCAACCCCATTCACCTGACCGTGGACACGAGCCTCCAGAACGGCCGCATGAGCATCAAGGCCTATGTCAGGTGACTGGATTCTGTGCCACACTGGCTGACTAGAGCTTACTGTGCCTGGTGATAGCCCCCCTACCCAACAGGTTTAATCATTCAGCATGTAACTCATTGCCTTATGAGAAGCTCGTGCTTGTCCTCAGCAGTTCTCATTAAGAAGGTTTTACTCTGACACACAATCTGTACCTGAAATCTTACTGATCCTAATTGTACTCATTACTCTTAAATTCCAGGCGGCAGCTCTTTGGGTCTTTGAGTGAGCTAGCCTGTGTTGTCTTTCCTAGAGGCTAGCTCTCCACTGCCCTCGCGGCCAGGCCTTGCAGGGTATTCCTTCCGGCTTTCAGCATGTTTACTGCTTTTCTGAGTTCAACCTTTATTTTTGTCACTATGCCTAGGGCAGAGCACAGGACCCAGAGTAGTACTGAGAAAAAAATGACTGTCCTTGTCTTGAATACACCAGTTCGCCCAAAATTAGTTCAGTTTTGACAGCAATAACATTACAGTGTTGACCCACTGAGTTGTAGGCAGTTGAGTGCCTGTGGTGGGGTATTGGGAAAGACCCTGGGGGCCACTGATGGGGGCTGTGGAGGGGGAGTTGGAGGGTTATATGTTTTGGTTAAATTGAAGACATTTGTTCATGTATCTTAAACTGCTCAACTGTGCTGTTTCTGTGTCTCACACGGATGGTAACAAGTTAGCTCCTTACGCAGTAGGACAAAGGTGCTGGACACAAAGTCCTTACAGGCCAGTGGTTCACCACTGAACTTGACCATTACCTCGTTTCTTGGCCTTTCCAGATAATTTCCTCAAGTTACAGATGAATGTGGAGAGTTATCACAGTAAAAGCAGCCACCTTTGGCAGGATTACTTTATAGTTACTATTTTCTTACTTCTGAAGAGCTGAGAACCAGAAAAGACCCATCCTGTCTCTCCTTTCCTAGCAGCCAGTTCCACAGACAAATCTGGCATCCTCTCCTCTCACTGAAATTGCCAGCATAGGAAGTAACCCTCTAATGGGTCTGGGCCATGTCCAAAAGCTACGTCCCCATGAACTCCTGGTCAAGGGGTTGGTGTGGAAAATGAGCTAAGGGAAGAAAGTGACTTGCTGTGTGAGACCCTTAGGCTTCTGTACCCCATCTGGAGTACACAAGGGAACCCTTCCAATGCCATCTGCTTACTTTGATTTCTTTCTCACCAGCACTTTAATGGGTGTCCCCGGGAGGACCATGGGGGTGATGTTCACACCTCTGACAGTGAAATATGCGTATTATGACACTGAGCGCATAGGAGGTAAGTGACCTTCCCTCGCCCTCTTTAGAGACCTTTGGTGTTTTCCATGGCAGAGTTGCTGCTCTGTAACAAGGATGGAGGCCCTTAGGGGATTTAAAGAGGAACATTGATCTAAATTTTGTGAGGACTAAAGTCACAGTCGATCTTTATTAATGAGATTCAAGGCATCACTTAAGAACTGTTAGAGTTGCAATGTTATGAGACTGAGCTGTGACTAGCATAGCAGGTAAAGGAGCCGAATTTATATCAGGAGGAAAAAGGGCTAATGATGGCAGAGCAGGAGAGTTTGGGGAAGGTTGACTTGAGTCCAGAGGGAGGTGGAAAGGTTAGCAGAGTGGTTAGCTTAAGGGATGACTGAGTTCTCTGTCTCTCTTGTACCTCCCACCCCACTCCCATAGTTGACCTGATCATGAAGACTTGTTTTAGCCCCAACCGGGTGATCGGACTCTCCAGTGACTTGCAGCAAGTAGGAGGGGCGTCGGCTCGCATCCAGGACGCGCTGAGCACCGTGCTGCAGTATGCAGAGGACGTGCTGGTGAGAAGGGCAAGGAGAGGCAGCAGGGGGGCGTAGACCTCCACTCTGAAGTCGAGGGGGCTGAGAGGGATGCTGGGAAATGATTGTCCTATTGTGGGAGTTAACTGAGCCTCATGGAGTCTTTGTTTGGTGGTTAGTCTGGAAAGGTGTCAGCTGACAATACCGTGGGCCGCTTTTTGATGAGTCTGGTTAACCAAGTACCCAAAATCGTTCCTGATGACTTCGAGACCATGCTCAACAGCAACATCAACGTGAGTGCCGTCTGGCTCTCTGGGAGCCTGTGCCTTTCTCCACCTCCGCACATGCACACCGAGCTCTGAAGGGAGTCGGGGGAGGTTGCCTGGAGGAGGATCAAGGAGACAGCTTTGCCATTGGTCCCTTGCAGCCCATACTGGGAGGAGGGGAAAGATAGCACACCTGGCCAGACGCCTGCCATTTTTCCATGTTTCTGGTGGCTCGGGTCTGGCTTGGGTACTGTTCATGCTACTGTGAGTTCAGCCCATGGTGGATGGGAACGCTGAAATTCAGGGGGGTTGAGAATATTACTTATTTTCACCATCTGAGTTACAGTTGACCCCACTGCCCCTACATTCTGCCCTTGGGTCTCAGCCAAAGCCCCTCATGTGGAAGTGTGTCATGAGAATGTGCTCTTAAGCATTTCCTGCCCGCCGCACACCCTCAGCTGCAGCTCCACCTTTCCCAGGACTGTCATTACCAGGACTGTCCTTCACCCAGTGTTCTCCATGGAACTGGCCCAAACTGGCCTTTGTGCTCCTTTGTCCCAGCCCCCCACTCATTGTGGTTTCTTTCTTTCCCAGGACCTGCTGATGGTAACCTACCTGGCCAATCTCACGCAGTCCCAGATTGCCCTCAATGAAAAACTTGTAAACCTGTGAACAGACTCCAGGCTGCATTCCACCGCTCTGGGCCAGCACCAGGACTCGGCATGGAGTGAGGTGGATGGTTTCCTTGGCTTGAGTCGCTCTGTTTCTGACTAAATAAATATATACTATCTTTTATAAGTGAATTCCATCTTACATGAGTTTCCTACCGGTGGAAGGAAGAAAACTGTTCTAGAGCCCTTACAGAAATCAGGACGGGAGCGCCCCAGAGAGCTGGTGGGGTTCGGCATTACTTGTCAGCAGTGGTTTACCCACAGCCCAAGACACGCCAGCTTCTCGTGACCCCTGACCAGATAGCTACGTAACCCCGGTTTCACATGGGTACTTTCCCCCTTGCTTTCTTCTATGCTCGGAACAAACTGCATCTCCAAGGGGGGGAAATTGACTATCGTGTATGGGTGGCAGCAGAGGGCTGCCTTTTGCACAATGTGCAGTACCTGAGGTATGTGACTGAGGAGGGAAAAGAGGGAAGACAGATCGAGCACACTGCTGGTAGACAGCCCATTCCATGGTGGGGATGAACCGATTTACTACATTTTTCTTTTGGTTTTCACTCTGGAAAGATACCACTGCAAATGCCACAAACCATTTCTGGATGAGATTTAAAGAATCCAAGGAGGGAAAATAGTTTTAAAAATTGGACACTTAATCTGAACTGAAAATAGAGCATATGGCCAGTGTTTTAAAGTACTTGGCTAGTAAGGATGGAGCTGTTGTCTTGGAAAGCAGAATTTGGATTGTAGGTTAAGTTGAAAGCTACTTCCTCCAAACCCCAGGAAATGCTGTGGTGCTGTCTCAGGACAGTTGCCTTGGGTAATGTTGAGACTGAGGTATGTTCCATATTGGAATGAAAGGCAGATAAGGCTCCTTCTGATTGTGGTTCCGAGATAGACAACCTTGGAAAGGAAATTCATAGTCCATTACAGTGTCGTGAGATGTTAATGAATTAACAAATGTTAATAGTGCCTGGTTCATAGGAATACAAAATAAGTGGCAGGGGTGTCTGCAGCTGAACACAGTTTGAAAGTGATAATCAACATGAAACCAAGCCTGGATCCTAGTTCTACACATAGTCACTACGTGTAGAAACACTTATGGGCAGTTGATATGAAGTCCAGGTATTTTTAAATATGTATGGATAAAATTCAACTGAGAACTGATACAGAACAATGTAGTAAGAAAAAGGGGAGAAACAAAAAAGTGAAGGCATGGGAAAAGTGGGTAAAACAAAAAATAGCAAAAGGAAATCTGAGTATTATCAGTAATCACAACAAATTATTAAAGGATTAAACAAATCAGACACCAAAAAAAGTTGAATTTCAAAGCAAAACAAACCCTAGCCTTTTCTTATTTATTTTTTAATGGGTGACACATCTAAACATAAGGGCACAGAAAGTTGTCCCCAGCTATAAGAACAGTTTACTGTTGTGTGAAAAGAGAAGTCCAAGACTGCACAGTGTGGGTCTCTGTGGAGTTCAGAAACGAGTGACATTGAGCAGTGCTGTCTGGGGTGTGCAGTCGGGCCCACGTGTGCCGCAGGCATTGTGGTCACTGGTCAGCACATGCTGAACCATCATCCCAGGGAGATACTACTTAGCTCCCTTCTGGGAGCTTTCATCTGCCAGTCAGCACAAAACCTTACTTATTTCTAAAGACATTCAGTATCATTGTTGATTTACAGTGAACTCACAGTCCTAGAACATGTCTTACCAAATATATTTTCTGCGTAAGGCACATCATAGCCTTTTTGTGCTCAGGAACACCAGACAGACTGTAAGTACACTTGGGACCCATTTTAGCAGCAGAGTCACCACCCAAAAAGCAGAAAAATGTAAAAATGTGACACTAAATAGACTGAAAAGGAGACTTCTTGACAGAACACACTGGAACAAACAGCAGCCAGGGGCCCAGGCCCAGGCAGGCTCTTCTTGTCCGCTCTGCCTGTTCTTGAAAGACGGAGCTCTTGAGTATTGACATTGTAGCTAGAATTATATTTTGGCAAGTAGGTGAATTCATAAATAGGGAATCTGAATAATGAGGATTGACTGCCAAGTATATATTGTGGTACCAAGAAGCCAAAGGATGACGTGTTAAAATTGCCTAGTAGTGCTTAACCGCAGAGATGGGAGGTGCAGGCAAGATCAGTGGTCCAGTCTGAGGTTAAACAGTGGGCGCATAGGTGTTGATTATATAATAAATAGCCAAACGTGAACTAAGCCTGGCATTGTGGTGTTACTAAATTTAATAACACAAATATACACATCACACTTAACAAAAATACAAGTTTTGAAAGTAAGATGAAAAGGACATTTTTTAAAATGTTTTACCGTTAGTACGTTTGCTTATAGAAGTCTTAACCTAAAAACTACTGAACAACAATTTTCAGTAAGATGGTGAGTACAAAATTTATATGGAATTGATGCCTTATAAATACAAATTGGTAATACACCATTGTGGGAAACCCATTGACATTTTCAAAAAAGGAGTTCATAAAGTAAACATGGAATTTTATATTATAATTCATATTAAAAAGTCACATAAGGTACATTTGAGGGCATAGTGCTCTTAAAAAGAGTCAACATTATTTTAAACAGTGACTTGCTTGCTAAACTATAGGACAGCACTAGTTTTTCAAGAGAAGGCTACAAAGTGCAAGTTACCTCTGCTCATGTACTACTTAACCAAATGCCAACAAAAAATCATGGTACCTGCTTAGAACCTAAGCCAGACAAGGAGATCAGGACCAGAGTATTCAGCAGGTGTTGGAGGTCATGGAAGCCTTCCAGTTAGGAAGTGACATCAAAATTGGACTTCAAGAATAAGGTAGAGCAAATTGAAAGGAAAATAGAGCACTTTGTTCTGATATTTGTTTTTGGTTGGTGAGTTGTTTTATTTTGGTTTCAGAAAAATCTCTGCCTTTACTGACCAGGGTGGCTACTTGAAAGGAGTGACACAAGACGGGAGAATGGGTGGCCCTAGGCTGGGCTGGTCAGCCTCAGGCTTGCAGGTGACGGAGAGTAGCCTGCACTCGGGCTGGGTCTCCGCCTGGCTGAAGGTCCAGTCCTGGGAGACACCCCCCTAGTTTGGACAGGGTGCTAGTTCTGTCCCACAAATGTGTGGCACCATGTAGGGTTTCTCCCCTGGCGGCATCCCCTCCTTGGCTGGGGGGGGTGGGAGCATCCCTGCTGCTAAAAACTCCCAGGCAGATGAAGCTGTGCCAGCTGCACTGAGCACGCACCCTATGGCTGGACAGGGGCCACGTCATGGTAGGTGAACTCGCAGGTCTGTGCTTTTGCTCTACTTCTATTTTGTTGGAGCCTCAGGAAGCGAAAATCGAGCATTTAGGCACAGCTAACATTTCTGTACAAAGGCTCAGAGAAAGATGGTGTCGACCATCTAACTGCGTTGTGGCCAATGCCCGGCTGGGGAGATGCTTGTAGGGACAGGGCACTCATCTGTGCTTAGACTGACAAAAAGGAATGACTCTTTCTTTGACAGCCTTTGCTTATATGTGACGAGTTTGTTTTTACTGTGAATGTGAGTTTCTTTCTGTATGTGTGCATATGCTAAAAACTTGCGAATGTGTCTAAGTTAAGATCAGGATGCCACACTCCACTCCCTCCCAACCTGTTCTGTGCCCTCCCCTGGTCCTTCCCTCTGAGCTCTGGATGTGGCATCCCCAGGGCTCCATCCTGTATTCCCTTCACTTTCTACTTCACCCCCACTGCCTGGAAGTTGTTAGCCTCTGCCTGGTGACTGCTGCTTGTGTGTCAGAGACACCCACTCAAGCTTTGGACTGTTTTGGGAGTGGCTTTCCTGATCCCACGCTGGGTGAATGGACACCACGTAGCTCACCTGCATTTCTCGGCAGCAGCTAAAATTCCACATGCTTCATTTGGAATCCATGGACTCCTCCGTCCCTGTAAGTTACCTCCTGAAACTTTTCTCCTCCAGTTCAGTTGTCAAATCATAGTCCTTGATGCATGCTTGATGCATCCCTCCTTTCTCACCATCATGTCTGAACTAGCTCATTACAACTCTGCCTTCAGTCTTGCCTTCTGGGATATTGTGACATACAAGAAATACATATGTATGTATATTCACATTCTTGGCACGCAACTCTTAAAACTTTGGGATTTCCAAAGTGGTAAGAGCTATAAAAGTGTAAGGATTTTGTTACTCCTAACAAGAGCTTGACAACCACATCTGAGTTTTGTGAATCAGGTGACTTTTGGAAACCCTGTGACCAAAGAATGGGGGCTGGTTTCTGAGTGAACCAACTACTTGTCTCGAAGATTGAAATTTTAAGGCCCACTCTCTGCAGCCTCAGGTAAGGGAAAGGGGAAGAGCTGAATTGTCAGTGCCCAGCGATCATGCCTACTCAATGAAGCCCAAAGGACAGTCTGGATGTTAACGTGTCACTAAAGGGCACTCAGAGACCCCAAACTTGTGCATCCTAAAATGGAGGCCTGCCATCCACCACATTAGAACAAAGGAAAGCATACTTAGTGTGAGAGAATTTTAATAAAATTAATGTGTATAGAAGATGACAAAGATAATAGCTTCCCAATAAAACACCCCAAATTATCTTTCCCCTTGTGGGTAAATGTCCAACAAAACAGGGTTGGCACACTGGCCCTCCCTGGTGGTGCAGCGGGTTAAAGCACTGCGCTGAGAAGCTAAAGACACTTCCGCATGAGTTCGATTCCCGCCTGCCCCGGAGGAGTCCACATGGCGTGGCAGACCTCTCCTGACCCGCCCGCTGCTCTCCTCAGCAGTGTACTTCGTTGATCCGCCTGTTCTGCTCCCTGCTCTGTCTCTGGTGAATCCTCTCACCCTCCGCGTCTCTGGCCTGTACCCCAATTCTGTATGAATAAATAAATAAATCTTTTAAAAAAAAAAAAAACAGGGTTGGCACAAATCAAGGTTTCTGAGGCCAAAAATGTTGACACAGTCTGAGGGGTTGTTACAAGAGTGCACAGTAGTAGCCATATGAAGGCCCAGTGGCAGGATCCTTCTGTGAATCCCTCTCTCCACCAACCAAGTACTCCATATCCAAGTGCGATTCTTTCTTGAATGTGCCCACAGGAAGAAAGTGTGCATGCCAAGGAGAGAAA